CCAGGTGGACAGGCATGCGCCTCGGTCCCCCAATGTGCCCCCTAGGGGGTGCAGCGTCTCGTTCCCTCTCGGGGAACCATGGTTACATGCGTAACCCGAGACGTTTTCCCTGAAAACCACGATTGCAAATTTGACATTTTATAGGCTACAAGAGTTAAAACGAGTAGTTAATATACATTTTAGTTCAATATTCGAATTTGAATTTATTGAAAGGATATATTGTCAACGTTGACTGTTTTTGCTCCATTTGGTTAATGAAAATAGTTCCAAACAAAGATCACAGCAGAACAGTCGCGCATCTATGAGCAACACACAGCGGTGTTTAGTTATTGAATGATTCGCGTTTTTGAATTTTGAATAATTTGAGTTAATGATTCAGTGGTCCATTCATAAAGACAGGCACTTGCTTCATTCTTGAATGAATCAGCCGTCTGAACGAATCGTGTGAAGGCATGCTTCAGTAGCTGCATTTCAATCCACCTATTTTTATAGGCATTTTGGAATCCTAAATGCATAAAAAAACGCTAGATGGAAACGATAAGATGCCCATAAATTCTAAAAATGCGCATAAACTTATGCGCACATTTGAGTAGGATAAACTTTTTATCCGATAATAAAAAATGTGCATAAACTACGATGGAAACACATTTACTGAATAAATTCCTCCATGCGCATCGAAAAAGTCATGTGACTTTGCGCTATGAGACGGGATAACTTGACTAGCAGCGGACTGATCTCGTTTACAGCATCTATATTTTTTTATGGTCATTCTGAAATGCCTGAGCAAAGTCTGTCGTCAAAGTATTTCTGTATAATTGTCTTACATGACTGCATTCCCAAACAGCAGCATCCACCTCCGAAAGCATTGACAGCATTTATTGTGTTATGCCTGTTCGCTCCGAGGTGCAAGTAATTTATATCATATATGAAAATTATTATATTCAGTGGCTTCTCCTATATTCTTAGTGATATTTAGTGCCACAGTTTACCAGGAAGTGACGATTTTGTTCTCTTTGACTCGTTGGATGGAAACGGTGCTTTATTCGCATATGTTTTATGCGATATTCCAGTTTTGCGCATAAGTTTAATTTGAATCTTTGGATGGAAACATAGCTAATGACTCATTAATTAAGACTGTCACTTGCTGCTACCTACTGGAGGTTTACTTTCTTAGTAGCTTATCTTTGCATTTTTTTCCAACATTTCATATTTGTATATCTCAACTATTTTAAAACACCAAGCTCACAACAATATTTATGCTGTTATAATTTTGCAGTGTAAATGCATTTGTGCTATATTTCAGCTACATCAGTCTGTGTAAATGCATCTGAATGTCACTCCAGTCACTTCGGTTTCTTCTGCAGTGGAAAGATCGGTTTTGTTAATACTGATTTAATTTGATTGGTAACAGCCCTATATATTATTATTATATTAAGTGAAATTATTAATAAAATGTAAGATTTTGATATGAAAGACGATGCATGCAAATTATCTGGAAATCAATTTAAAGGGGTCATATGATGCGATTTCATTTTTTCCTTTCTCTTTAGAGTGTTACAAGCTCTTGGTGCATAAAGAAGATCTGTAAAGTTGCAAAGACTAAAGTCTCAAATCCAAAGAGATATTCTTTATAAAAGTTAA